GCCACTTCTTTCGCAGCGCAATGACAAGCGAGTTTAATGCTCCCCCCCCGGCCCCTTCTGGTAGGATGCTGCGGTGAGTGCGCTGACTGTGGTTGCTGCGGCAGCAAGCAGTTGTTTAAAAAAAACAACTCGAATGTCTATAAAAAAGACATAAACAACCAAAACAACCCTTTGATCGGAGTAATGCTGCTTTGATTTTGAAACTTTTGTTCAGGGCACATTGTATGCTTGTTGTTATTGGTGTTGGTGTTGAGGTTGCAGTTGTTGCACGTACATACAACGAGTCTCAAACGCAAACATGATTTGACTGAAATCAATGGAATAGCTTTTACAACGAAAATAGTGAGCCAGCGCAGCGCAGCGGCGACAGGTAGGGAATTTAAGCCTTTAAGATGCCGCAGCTTGCGGCATAGTCATCTGTGTTTCTGTAGGTATGTATGTATGGATGTATGTATGTGTATATGTTCGTTCGCTTTTCAATTATTATTTAATAGCATTATTAGCTGCTGTTTGTTGTCATTAACAGCAAGTTGTTGTTGTTTTTATTGTTGTTGTTGTTGTTGTTGTTGCAGCAATAATTGCAGTAATTGCTGTTTATCGCTTACCGACTGCTGCTGCCTCACCGATTCTAATCGCATTTTGTAGTAATGCGTGATTAGTGGGTTCGGCTTGATGATGCAACAAAATTCCCGATCAGTGGTTGTGACGAAGAATCAATTGGAGATGCAACAACCGGAAGTTTTTGAATGTAATTTTTTCCCCGTTTGCCTTTGTTGTAATTAGGCAATAATGCTTTGATTTTATTAGTTACATAAGTTTCTTTTTTTCGTACAACCCCCAGTGATGCATGCAGCCAGTTTGAGAGGCTTCGGTGAAATGATGCAATCAGGTGGAAAAAATCAAAGATGTATTTTAAACATTGCTTTCTTACATATCATAATCGTTTCGATATTTTAATCGATATCTATTGTTATCGATAAATCTATCGAGAACTTTATCGATATTTTTTAACATGGATGTCATTAACGATTTACGTATTTGTGAGGGCTTCTTAACATTTCGTCAGGGTTTCAATGTTTTAATCGATATTTTTGGCGATATTTTGATGAATATTTTTCTGCGTTATTATCGCGATCGAATTACTACTTTTTTGCTTAGAGTCTCTTTATCCGTCTTTGTTTGATCAATCATTCGCCGTCTTGTTCGTTTCAACTCTTTTCCAGTATCGGTTGCTTTTGCTTTCTTGTTACTTCCATTGTAAATGCGCTCCATACGCTTTGATTCCCGACGTTCGATTGTATTAGCTTTGGCCTCATGCGACTTGGGCCGTATATCGTCGGGATCATGCGTTTTAGAAACTTTATCCTGCTTCTTTTCTGAGTTATTTTGTATTTGTCGTGCCACTGCAATATTTTTATCTTTAGAGGGACGCTCTTTGGGTTCCTCGGGTGTCTTTTTATCTAAAGTGTCTTTACAATATTCAAATTTTGTCTTTTTTACGTTAACTTGGTTCTCTATTACATCCTTTGTGTTGTTAATTTGTTGTGTAGTTATAATGTCAGGTGTCTTTTGATTCTCGATTTTATTTGTAGGAGATCTTGGAGTTGAATGTCATTTATCATTTTTTCCTTCAGAATGGCTTATTTCCTTTTTAGCGGTACTAACATATTCTTCTGACCCTCGGTCATTTGAAAGATCAATAAATTCATAAACATCAGGCTCGACGCTTGGAGGCATTATAGTTGGATAATTTAATAAGTCTACCACCTCCTCTGCTTCATCACTACTACACGATTCCGAATCTATTAGAAGCGGCGGCATAATGATTGCATCCTCTGATGTTTCATTGTTTTCAATATTTAAAGATTGGCCCTGCCGCGCATCTATAATTCCTAATATCTCACGATCCAGCGCCAGCGCTTGATTGAAAAGTTCTTCCGTCGCCGTTTCGGAGTTTGCGTTCAAGTTGTTGGTATTGTCATTCGATTTTTGTGAACTGTTCGAACTGCTTATTGTATGCCATAACTCTAAACTGATTTTATATCGATCCAAATCCACTAGTGGTAACTCATCTTCGAACTGATGTCTATATCGCCGCAATCGAAAATCTCTATAGAAGATAATAAAATATTTAGTAACTGTCTATGAAACATTGAAGAGTTGTGACTGCTTCATATTAATATACATATATTACGGCGCATCAATTTTGTTTCACTATACGCGTATAGCATAGGATTCTACGTGTAATTCTAAGCAAATTCGCCGAAGAAACGATGAGTCTAAAATCAGTTTGGAGTTTGCCAAATTACGAAAATAAGTGTCGAAGGAAATGTTGCACCCCATTTATCGATTGTTATCGATTTGCACTTAGGACTCGCAATCGATATCGTACATACATACACATTTTCCAACCAATTGGACAAAATTGTGGAGGCCTAGACAACATTAAATCAACGAATCTTCCATTTGCACTCACGGCATAAACAGAAGCATCAATGCACCGTTAGCTGCACATTAGACACACACACATAATTAACACTCAATTTGAAATCGCAAATAAAATAATTAATTGCATCGATGATGCAAATGGAAGTGACGTACGCGAGAGCATCAAAAGCAAAACATGATCGCGAACAACAACAACAAAAAAACTCACAAAGTGTGATAATAAGAAAATTTTAAAAGCAGCGCATGCAAACAAAACTCATAATTTACATACATATGTATGTACACATGTACGTTCACGATTGTATGCACTTAAATACGGTATGTTGTTGTTCTTTGTTTTTTTTTTTTTTTTTGCTTCAAATCGGCATGTATCAGCGCATGCTGGCTATCTGCACATGCAACGCGTGCAACAAATTGCTCGAGCGCTAGCGCAGCGCCGCAACTGTGAATGCGTTCAAATTTGCCTAAATCAAATGCTAATCAGATGTGTTTGTTAGGAGGTGCGCCGCGGCGCCGCCACCATGCCACACGGCAGCCGCATGCCAAATAGCGCAGAAGCATTAGAAGCAAAGCGCATTGATGGCTACTACAAACATACATACATACACATGTACAGTATGTACATACTTACGGCCACCGTTTCTGCCGTTTTGACAAATGTGCCACTCTGCGCATGCGCATCAGAGTGCCAGCAGTTGCAGCAGTGCTCGTAAAAATTTATGCCAAATTAGTCACTTTATCATGCAAAATATGGCTGGCAGAAGTGGTGCTACCGCTTTCGGCACACTCTCAGCGAAGAGAGTGTTTAAGTGTGGAGGACAGGGGGACAGGGGGACAAAGACACGTACTGCGATTACAAAACGATATCGATAAAACTAACGATAATGTTATCGATAACGATAATTAATTTATTATAATAAACATAATGAGCAAGAAGAAGAATAATGATTTCGATAACGAATTTTATCCAAAATGATAACATTGTCGATATCGATAAAATTTACATAGGGGGGAAAAGGTAAGCTCACCCTTATAAGAAGGTGAACTCATAAAGGAGTTAGTAAAATTAAGTAGCTGCTGAACTAAGCTTATAAGTTAGAAGTTCTTCTATTGCTTATTTTGAACAGTTGAGGTTGCTGTAGAACTTTCTTAATTTTCTTGGTTTTTATCTACCTGAAAAACGCTCTCACTCGGGCACAAACTAGAGAAGGGCGCGGGACGAAATAGACAATCCCGATCATGCCCATCTTCTACGTGCAATGTTGGAACCGTCCGTTCCGACGTGTTTTTTTTTTTAAATATGTTCTTTTTCTCGAATATTCTACTTTCCTCATACCGAAAGATCTGGCCTAGTCTATTTACTATATTTTGCTAGCTTATTTCATATGTATAAAGTTTAAACGAAGATTCTCTGAATTTTTTGAAGAAGCCTGTTTTTTCGGGAGTATCAGTAAAGGATTTTTTTTACTCGTTGCGTGTTTTCTGTGGGTCCCGATATCCCACGCCATATCTTTAGTACAAACGCTATGATTTGTACCAAACATCTTGTCTCCACTCGTAAGGCCTCTATAAAGCCCTCAAAGGATGGTTTGGGCGTAGTCTTCCGTTTATATAAAGTGTAGTGGTCGTGAGGTCGAAATTACGACTTGTTCCCAACATATTTGTAAACATCTATGTAAAAGTTTATAGTATTAGGCATATTTTGATACCAAGCCGGTTGAGGTTGGTATGACAACTTTGCATTTTTTATCTAAACTGACTGATATTGTTGTGGCAGCATATAAATTCCCCAAAGAGATTTTGGATAATGATGCTGGGGTGACAGTACTTGGCCAAATATTAATCGGGGTCGTTCCGGTCGTCTAGACCCGATTGTCCTGATAACAACTGACTGATAATAGTAATAGGTTCTGATGGTTATCGGGATAGTCGCTGGCATGCTATGGACTGAGCCAAGAGCCATTTTCCATCAAGTTTTGCTACTGCTATGACGACCACCCCCCTAACAACAAGATCAAGTAGACGTAGATGAAATAAATAGCGTGGATCAAAAGGGCACGCTTATAAAAAATTCCGTGCTTCTATTTGCAGACTTGGGAACGCTGTTGGTT